CGGCTCATAGGTGAGTCTATTAGTGAGTGTAACTGCACATTTTTAATGTAGGTATGATTCTTTAATGCTTGCAGTAAGGCCATATGGTTTTGTTTTTTTTTTCCAAGCTGTGGTGTGCATGTGTGTGGCTGTACGATAGATAATATCCTACAAATCTCAACTCTTATTGATTTATAAGAAAAAATAATGTGCTTTTATGCTAAATAATTAAAAGCTCCTTTAAGATACAGTAGTAAGCAGTCCAGTAGTAAGTAGCTTCTTGGTCTAGTTCCAATGGCAAGAATATGGATACGGATAAATACCATCACATCTTTCTTTACCCCCTTTCCATTTCCTAAGTGTGAGATGCTTTCTAAAGAACCCCACATAATTGAGCATGACAAACCTGCGAGGCCAAAATCCCTGCACCTTAGAAACGGATAACAGAACTTTTAGGAAATATCAAAGTCAATGCTTTTTATTTATTCTCCTCCCTAACTTCTAGTTTCTGTGTGCGCCCGCATCCCTCGTGGGCTGTTCCTGGGGCTCCGGTGGCTGTCCCGCGGGCACAGATGCAGTTGTACACCCAGGAAACTTTAATTCCTGCTTCCCCTTGGAGTCACGGGGTGTTACTGCTCTGTTTTGGGGGGAACAGAAGGAGAAACTGTCGCTGTTGGCCGTGGTGTGTTGTTCCAAGGGCAGGTTCTGGGGGTGAACTCTGTCTCGAAGCCACCTCCTGCTTTGCTGCTGCTGGTGTCGCTCACCGAGAGGGAGGTTTGCGGATGAGGGGTCCTCATGTCCTTAAGACATGTCCTTTTCTGTCTTAAAAAGAACATAATGTGGTGGGGTTTTTTTTCTTAGTTTTTCAGAAGCTGTGTTTTCAAGCCTGCCTTTTCTGCCCGTACCACCTTGGCCTGGTGGCTGCCAGACAGCGTGTCACCACGTGTGTGTGTAGGCAGCAGGAACCTTTTAATTACAGAACCCATTTTAACCTTGAAGGTTGCTTTTCAGTGGATTTCTTTCTTCTGAAAGACCGGGATGCTGCCTATAGTAACTAGAGCCTCAAGAGGCAGCTTCAAGCTCCTTTTAACAGGTCATTCAGCTGGTGCTTGTAATAAACCTCTTTTCTAGGGAGGAGGAGGAGGAGGAGCTGCCCAGGTTAATGCGACCTGTGCTCTTCACAGAGTTCACAGTTTGATGCCGATGCTGATAGTCATCTTTCCTCCTGCTTCTGCACAGGCAGCCTGTTCCCAGCTCCTTCACGAGCCCGGTGTTTCAGTTCAGCCCTTTCTTAAAGGGCATCTCCTCCCGTGGGGTTGAAGAGCCAGCACCCTGCCGCCCCCAGCCCGCCCCAGCCATGCGAGACCCTGCGTGGGTGCTCTTTGCATTGCTGGGGATCCAGGTGTTCATCTTATTTGCAATTAAAAACCTTTCCCAAAACTTCTTTACCGTTAGCTCTCTCCAGCTGAGCTGGGTGCGGGTGCTGTGGTGCCCCTGGGTGCAGGCACCCACTTAAACCTGGTCAAAATGTGGTCAGTTAAACCAGCGAAGACCCCAAAAATGCAGTTCTCAACAACATTTTAAACCCGATGTTGGATTTTTTCCCCCCAAATACACTTGCCCTGTTATTTCAGTTTGCTTGTGGCACGTGGATGGGAAACTGAGCTTTCCTGAAATTTGTGGTATTTACTGTTTTCTTCCTCTCTGAAATAAATACCTGGATGAAAGGTTTTGCTACAGCAGAGTCAGGCACACTTTTGTTTCTGAGGTCTCCCTGGATTTCGTTTTCAGCCAGCTTTTGTTTCTGCTGATTCTGAGCCTTGCTGAGAAGGTAGATCAGGCTCTGAATTGAGATGAACTTGGGCGAAAAGTCCACTTCTGGCATCAGCGGATTGTTTGCCCTGAAAGCATCTTTGGAGATGGAAAGCTTTTTAGCAATGGCTACTTTTCTGTGAAACACAGCTTTTAATCCCAGATTGTTTACGTGTAGGGCAACTAATGATTCCATCTACGAAGGCGGAGAGGGAACCTTCATTCCTGTTTGTGGAATGTGCAAGGCTCCATTTTAAAATTTTCCATCCTTCTGAAGGATATGTGGATATATGGATTCTGCTGCTGAGTTTCTTTTGAATTCAGCAGGATTTTTACCTTTAACTTCCCTGTGAGAGTTAGAAGTTAATTATTCTGGGTAGTCATAACCCACTCCATGTGTTTTATTCCTATTTATTCATATATGGGTAGGGAACAGGGATTTCTCAGGGGTGAAAGCCTGTTGTTTAGAAGCTGGAATGCGGTGTGGGCTCCCACAGCCTGTGATGGTTTTATGGATTTGTTCAGATTCTGGAGCTGCAAAAACGTGTTGTTCCTTTGACACGTTATCCATCAGACCAGAAGCACTGGATGTGGAGGGAGAGGAGCAGAACCGTTGGGGAGATTTGCCCGTTACACAACCGGAGTGTTTTCCTGGCCACTTCAGTCATACGTTAAATTTTTCATTATCTTCTCCCCTTGTCTAGACTGGGGTGTGTTTATGTAATTTCTTGCAGTGCACTTGTTTCCAGCAGGGGAAAGCTTTCTTGATGTCATTATTATGAAAAAGGCTTATGATGTTACTAATGGTCTAGCGGTCGGTGGGAACGGGACGTTGCCGAAGAGCGCTCTGAGTGCTGATGGGGTGACCAAGAGGCTGAGGAGAAGGGACATTTGTGGTCTTTGGTGACGCACACCATGTTCATCTCCAAGTGGTCCTCCTGGAGAAATGAGGGGAAGGTGTGTGTTGGGAGCAGAGGGATGCGGAGGGAAGGAGCGGGCAGAGCTGAAGGCATCTCCCCAACCTTCCTGGGTTGAAGGTTCAGAGGCCGTGAGCTTCTGGTTGTCCCCAGGCTCCTGCCAGTCCCACCGCTCTGCTCCACAGCCCAGGGCTGCCTTACCAAAGTGTCAGTACAAGGAGAGCTATTTTGCCATCAATGGGCTAACATTTTGTGGATTTTCAGCAGAGCGTTAACTTTCACAGGCACCATTTTAATCATGTTAAGCTAGGATGTGTATTTTTTAAAAATCTACCCATAAACCAGCCAAATTTTGCAATTCTGTCAATTATATGATGAATTTTATTTTACCTCCTTGATTTTCCTGAGTACAGAACATGTTCTTTATTTACTGCTTCCTCTTCGTTTGAAATCAGTATTTTGTTTAGGCTGTAAAAATACACAGAGGGCAGACCTAGATTTTAGTGAACAAATAAAAAGAGTAGCAGGTTCGTCACCAACTAATTAATAGTCTGAAGCCCGATTAACAACGTTTAGCCCTCCCTGTTCTTGTGTAGCTTGATTTGGGGGTCACCTCTGGGGTTCCCAGTTTGGATCACGATGTTCATAGAGTTGTGTTCCACGCGGGGCTTTGAGATTAACATAGAAACTATAAATAGAATAATTTTCTGGACTGGAGTTTAGGGCTTTCTTTCCATAAAAATTTAAAATTTGTCCAGGAGAACTGGCCTGTTCTGTTGCATTTCAGAAGTAGGTTTTTTTTAAAGTTTTTCTCCTGACATGAAATAGTTCAGAATTCGCATTTTACAAGGATTAGGAGCTCAGTCTTATTTCTACAGGAACGTGAGTGATATTTAACAGTCTTGTGTAGGGCACGAGTACTTTGTACAGGGTATTTGCGGTTATTTTTATCAAAGTAAATAGTTCATATGAAAATACCAATTTTAAAATTGGAAACAGAAAAAGTCTAGTGGAATTTTGCCTAAATACTAGGACAATGTAGTTGTTTTCCCAGGGCACGGCACTGCTGGCCTCCATTGATTTTCAAATTTATGGGCTCGTATTGTTGCCCCTATGAAATTTTTATAGGCATTATATTAAAATGAATATTGAAGGTTGCTCGATGAATAAAGGAAATCTTTGTCGATGTGGTTTGAAATGAGTGATTGTGACATTCTAAATGAGGCAAAGTAGATGTTAAGTGCACTGTAGCCAAGCTGGGGGCCTAATGGAGCTTGTGTTGGCTCATTTGCTAAACGATACCTGGCAATTGCAGTGTTAACAGCCCGATGCAGCTTTGATTGACTCCTACCTTTAATTTACAAGGTGCAAGTTAAAATCTGACTCGAGGATAAAGAAAGGAAGGGATGCCCAGAACGTCCCCAGGAAGGGCTGTGACCCCAGGGCTCCCCCAGGAATTGCCCCTGCACTCCCTGGTTTTGGGGAAGAACACCCAGCCTTTGGTGCTCCAGCTCCTGGGGCAGCCCTGAACTCCCATCCCATTCCACCTACAAATATATAATTGGGATTACGACCCCACTGGGTGATCCCAGGGGAAGGCTGGGAATTCTCCTTTAAACTTTGGCCATTACAGAAGTGAGAGCACATACAGTGAGGAGAACTATGTGCAATCACCCATGGCTTTTTTTATTCCAATTTTTGCTCATTTGCGGTATTTTCAAGCCTTATTAGATAAGTATAGATTCTTGAAGGGGGTTTCTAACATCACGCTGTGTGGTGTAGGCTATTGATATGTTAAGCTTGAAATGTAAAAACTATGTCTCTTCTACACTGAATAAGTACTAATATTCCCAATATTCTACACTGGGTATTATTAATATTTACAGTGGGGAAAAGGGATTGTTCTGTTGTACCTCAAACTCCAAGAACCTTTGAAAAAAAAACAACCTTAAAAATCACAGTATTGAGACTACAAGGCGAATTTTAGGCTGGAAGGGTGATGTCTGGAAAGGTATTCATTGGTAAGGATGAATTCTTGATGATTCTATGAATTCAGCAATCTCTCTGGAGCCCAGTTGATGTTAATGGTTGTTGTCCAATTCTTGTGGTCTTCAGAGAGAGCAGCAGCTGCTCTGAGCTGATGCAGTAGATGGGCAGTGGGACCTCATTTTGCTTGAATCTTTCTCATTGATGCTTCATTTTTGCGATCCTTTTCTCCCAAGTCTGTTAAAGTTCTGGTTTAAAATGAGCAGTTTCAATTAATTCTTCTCTTTTTTTTTTGTTTCCTTTCAGTATCCGCAGTGTTATGCAGAAATATCTTGAGGAAAGGGGTGAATTAACCTTCGACAAGATCTTTCATCAGAAAATTGGTAAGTCATGTTTCAATAAAACGTTACTCGTGTAAATATTTTAAAAATTGGCTTGGCTGCCACTTCTTAGTAATGACCACTGAAAAATCAGGGTTGTAGATGGGCTGATGAACACTGGAATATGGACAGGGCTTAGGGAAACAAAGGTCTTCAATAAAATGAAATGTTGCAGAAGGGAAGACGATGAAGCAAGGCAATCTGTCAGCTTAACTTCATGTTCTGGAAAACTACTGGAAAAATAATTAAATTATTTGGAAGCATCGAGGAGAAAATTATATTACTTGGTTACGGGCTTGTCAACAGTATAATGTGTCACATCAGTTAAACTTTTTTTTGTCTCTGTAGGGGTAATAAGCCTCGTTGATAAAGGGAGCAGGAAAGATCTCTATGTGTTGGCTTGGCTGGGATCAGGGAGATGCAGCCTGGGTGAAACTGGTGTGTGCAGGGGGAGGAACTGGTGGGAAAATTGCCTTGAGGAACCAGTTTTTGGTGCTTCCGTGTGGAGATGGAAGGATGTATCCAGGGAATTTGCCCAAGAGCGTCAGAGATCTGTTACTAACCAGTATTTTAGTTCCCAGTGTGAATGCTGGGATGAAGAGCCTCTGGATTCTGCTTGTGTGCTGAGAAGGTCCTCACCCTCGGTGTGGTTACAGTCCGAATTACAAAAACTGTCCATAAACTAGAGAAGGGGGGAGAAAAAAATGCAGTGCTTCTCAGTCAAAACAAGCAGTGTCTTCTACACCTGCGCTGGAGTAATTACAGAACTCCAGGGTGGAGAACCGCTGATGAGGGAGACGTTTTTAATTGACGTGGCTGCTACAGTGAGCCGTAGGTTGGATTGCCTCAGCTAGATCACACGATTAAATATCAAATCAGGGTTGTAGCCAGTGAGGCATGTGAAGTAATCCTCTTTTGGCAGAATATTGTGTCCATCCTGGCACCGGAGTCCAGAATATACATGGACCTGCTGGAAGGACTCCAGGACAGAGCAGTGGGAACAAGCAGACCTTACTTAGCAGTCTGCTAAGTGTGAGGAATTATTGAAATGGGGTGATACGTAGGCAATGAAAGAGCGAAGTGGGGTTGAACAAGCTTCAAAGCCAGAAAAGCTGTTGCAGAAAGGATGAGGTTAGTCAATTCTCCAGAGGTTTGACACATGAATTAAAAAAAAAAATCTGGAGAGGAATAAAACCATGTTAGTAGTAGGAAGGGTAGTAAGGCAGGAGAAGGGATTTCACAAAGGGTTTTGAAAACTTTGTCCAGTAGGTTTGAGGAGCGGGTTGGCAGATGTCTGCTGGGATTGTATGGCTGCTCTTGTCTTGCAGAATGGGGAAAAAAACATAAAATGGCCTGGGAAGACTTGAACATAAGAAGTTCCATCTAAACATGAGGAGGAACTTCTTCACTTTGAGGGTGGCAGAGCCCTGGAACAGGCTGCCCAGAGAGGTGGTGAAGTCTCCTTCTCTGGAGACATTCAAAATCCTCCTGGACATGTTCAAGTGCAACCTGCTCTGGGTGGACCTGCTCTGGCAGGGGGTTGGACTAGATGATCTCCAGAGCCCCCATCCAGACCCCACATCATTCTGTGATTCTGTAATGGATCTATTCCTGGCTGAGATACACCAAGACTGTAATTAACAGTGGAAGGAAATGCCCAAGGACAACGTGCCGCTGGGCCTTGTTTCCCAGGGAATGGGATGCAATGGGAACATCTTTGGGCTTGTTGAACTTTAGCTGGTCTCCCTTCCTGGCTGGAGCAGAAAGGTCCAGCCTTCCTGGTTGCCTGGAAGTATGCAGCTCAGAGAATATTCTTGAGTGGGAGTTTTAAGTATTGCCAGATTAAATAAATGGTATTCTTGTGTAGTATCACAGGTTGTCAGTGATGGGTTTCATGGCTTTGTACAAAGAGGGTTGTGGAAACACCAGTCTGAGGTACGAGTTCCTGGAAGTCTCATGGAGCTTTCTGTTATATTACAGTAATTGAAGTGTTGTCTGTATCTTTATGCATAAAAGCTATGCCTTTTTATTCCGGCCAAAAATTTTACACTATAAATGCATGAATACCTTGTTTGCTTGTGCTGACATCTCTCGGTGTGGGCTTCACTTTAGTTGTCTGTGCTGGATCATTAGTATTTTGCTATCGCTTGATTCTGTTTGCCAAGGAAATGAGGAAGTTGGGGTATTATTGGGTTTTTTTCTCCTTTAAAAAATAAGTTGTCAAACAGAACAGCTTATGTGTAATGGATATTTTTTTAATGTAATTGAATACTATTCCTTAATAGTTGGCTCCACAAAGCAGTGGAGAATGTTGCAGTTATTTTGTAATTATAGTTAGGTACGGTAACCTTGGAAGGATTATGTCTTTCTTTTTTTTCCCCACATTGGTAGCCGTCCAACCTGGAATTTTTAGAGCCTGGAGTTCCATTAACATCTTAGTTTCTCACCTGGATCTTGAGATGCAGAGTTCACAGATGTGCAGGGAGGTTTTCTCCTCCTTCCCCCTTGGTACAGTCATAGCGGTACTTGCCCTTGGTTACCTGGAAATGAGGAGGTCTTTTCTGACCACTTTGCTGGAGTTTCGGTTACTTCTGAACCTGATTTCTTCTGAAGTCGGGTTTAGAGTGGAAGAGAAAGAAGATGAAAGATAAACATGACCGTTTTTTTTTAACAGAAGACGTTGCATTGCACTAGAAAAGACTGTATTTCCTTACTGCGGTTGTTCATTTAAATGTTATTGCGTTTTCTAGCTTGTTCTTTGCCATTAAATTAGTTCTGTTTCCAGCCATTAGCATAATTGCCTGTGGTAAAGCACCTTCAATTTTAGGCAAGCCTTTTGCAAAAGGCTGTGAAAATAAATATGGCGAGGTGATTAAAAGTCTGATCACCTTTTTGCTCTTGTCGTTACCTCTTTGTAAGGCGGGGATGCGGAGAGACGGCAGCGGGGGCTGGACCTGGGGGTGCAGATTTTGGGGGGACACACACACACACCCCACTGGAGGCAGCTCCTGCTCGGAGGAGTTTAAATCAACCCGAGTCAAACGAGTCTCTGATGGTGAGCTGCGATTCTGCTGGTTCATCCCTTGCTGCTGGCGCTTCCGCTGCCTTTATTTCCTCACTTAAAGAGTATACAGCACTTTATCCTTATATATGAACTATAAAACTTCATCAAGCTTCCTGCGTTTTCCTGTGGCAAGCAGCGCTTCCGCTGCCTTTATTTCCTCACTTAAGAGTATACAGCGCTTTATCCTTATATACGAACTATAAAACTTCATCAAGCTTCCTGCTTTTTCCTGTGGCAAGTGATGTAGTTGAGGACCATTAAGCTTTTTTGCCTTTTCCAGAGCACAATTATTTTTTTACAGCTCCAGGTCATTGTTTTTTTTTTTTCTGTTTTTCAGTATCCTTCTTTTAAATATAAAAAACAGGGCATTGATTAGTTGTCTGAGACAAGTCTTTCTGTTGCATACGGAGTGATTCCCCTTGGATGTTGTCCTAGGTGTATGTCTAATTATGGTGCTGGTCTTATTACCTGCAAGTGTTTATCCTTAATGAGCCCTTAAATCCTTTTAGGATCAGTGCTTTCCAGGTCCCACCATAAAAAGATTGGCCCAAATTCCCTCCCTGCCACCTCCCCCAGGTGTTCAACTGCAGGGAATCGCACGGGCAGCGCGGCCTTGGGAACCAAAACCTTTTTTTCTGCCCTTTTAGGATCAAAATAAGAGCAGGAAACTCCGTCAGCAGCTCTTCCGGGGGTGAAAATGACTTGGAGGGTCCGTAAGATTTGCATAAACAAGTGTCTGTCCTCTATTGACATCTTTTTCTTCATGAAAGCGAAATAGGTCGCTCTCACCCCTGGAAGATGGCACGGCTGTTTGCGGGAGCGATGCTCCAGAATGATCTTGAACTCTCGAAGAAACGGCCCTAATGAGTCAGAGGACACGGAGATAATGGAGCCACCCAGAAAAATGCTCTGGCAGCTCTTTAACAGCCCAGCAGCCGGCTGTTCCTGCAGAAGCTGCTTCCTCCACAGCAGAAGCTTCATTGGGGAAGTACAGCCTGTCTCGGAGCCGAGTGCGTAACCACCTTTAGCTAGTTTTCTTTTTACCACATCCTGTTTGCTACAAGAGCAGATTCTGTGCTTGCTTCAGAAAAAGAGAGGTTTTTCTGGGGTCCCAGTATCTGTAATTTACACGTGGAATCCACTCTGCTTCTGGGCCAGGTTGGAACAACACGTGGGGTCCTTCTGGTGCTCCTTGGGACCTCAGGGTGGGCACCTTGGTCACGGCGCTGCTTTCGGGGGGCAGTTTTGGAGCAGATGGGGGTCCTCTGCAGCGCCTGTAACTGCCAAGCATTAAAGGGAGCGAGTTAGGTCATAATATTACTTTAGAAACAGGATTATCTTGGTTATTAAAGTTAAATGCTTTGGAGCAAACTCATTGCCAGTTACAGTTCAATGACTCTCACGTCTGACGCTGGACTTTGTGATGAACTGCATGTATCTGCTAGGCAGAGAATAAAGTTGGCTTAGAAAATTCTGGGATGTGAGAGTGAAGCATCCCACAGCCTCAGGCTCAGCCTCAGGGGCTGCGTGGAAGCTGGTGGCACATGGCAGGTTCTCAACACCCTTCTCCATTTCTCCTCTGTTCCTCAGAGCCGTTGGGTTTGGGTCTTGAGGAAAGATGAGAACAGAATTTAGCTGTTTCAGCAGCTGGTTATCCTGCAATATAAGCTTTTCACCTTGCCTAGTGAGTTACTCACATTTTTTTTTTTTTTTCCCTGAAGCTGCATCTAATTTCTGTTTCATTTTCTTGAAATTTAACACTTGTAAAAAGACCCAATTAAAAAAACTTGTAGTTGACGTAACGAGTTACAAACGTTGGGTTTTTTTTTTTTTGCCTATTTACCATCCACTTTGGTTTAGCGAGGAGTGATCTTTGGAGGGTGATTCATGTAAGTGTCTTTTATATCCCCTTCCACCAGCAGGCTCCGAGTTGGAGTCC